CCCCTGAACGTCTGTAGGTGGCATTTTAGCTGCATTTCTGCATCTCGTCCGAGGGAGCAGAGTGGGAGAGAGGAGGACAAAGAGAAGTTGGGTGTTTTCACGATACATACATTTTTATAAAGGACTTGGGAGGGGCTGGCCACGGTGAACAAACTGGCAACTTGACACAGGAATGCTGTGGCTTCTGCTATTCATGCCACTGCCTTTTCCTTTTCAGTCCAGATCCAGCTCTACCTCTCGCCTGGCTGGCACACCCGAGGGTGGAATGAGCTGACTCCCCTGCTGCTGCAGCTATCTCTTTGTCCCTCTGCATCTTGGTGTGGCCTGCTTAGCATCTAGACACCGAAGCTGTTTAACTTCCTAAAGCTCAGTCCCTTCCAGGATGCAAGTGGTCATAAAAAGAGGTAATTTAAAGAAGTCTCTCCAGCAATGTTTCATCCTCTCTTTTTCCTTTTTAATTCTTGGGCATTTACAACCAACTGAAATAGATCACTTGATTTTAATGATGAATAATAATATACTTTTGCATTTCCAGAACTGAAATATAGGCATACATCGGAGATATTAAGTGTTCTGTTCCAGGCCACCACAATAAAGTGAGTATCACAATAGAGCGAGTTAATCTTTTTGCTAGATTAGTGGAGGGTCTTGCCTTCTATTTGTAAAAAATGCAACATCTGTGAAGTGCAGTAAAGCAAAGCGCCATACAATGAGGTATGCCTGTATATTGCCCAAATCGGGGAGTTATTATTCTTTTGTTTAGTGACTACAAAGAAAGATTAGTTAGTGTAACAAGGGTGACAAACACAGAACAGAGAAAGCTCAACCAAGACAGACAGTGTGGAAGAGGGGAAATGCCATCTGAGAGTCAGAAGCCTGGGCTGTTTTCAGGCTGATTGTAGGCAATCCATTTATTTAGTCATTTAACAGATTCTACTGAGAGCCCTCCATGGGGCAGGCATCCACCTGGATGCAAGGAAGACGAAGAAAAGTCAGACAAATGGCGCCTACCCTCAAGTTATCTTCGGTCTTGTGGGAGACAATGGAAAGACACATAAACCAAAAATTATCAAACTATTTGGGCTATTTACTTATCTGGCATATTTAACTCTTTGATTTGCTGCATGATCATTATTATTGTCACTGTCATTTATAGAGTGCATAGAATCTTATTTAATTCTCACAATAATTCTACAAGGGAGCTCCTATTGTTCCCATGTTACAAATGAGAAAATCAAGTTCTTAGGGAGATCAGATAGTGTGCCAAGGTCATGTCGTTGGTCAGTGGTGGAACTGGTACTGGAATCCAGATCAGCCTGGAATCCAGAGGCCATGCCGCTCCCAACCAGGTGACGATGCCATCCAGGGTCTTCTACCTCTAATCTTGTTTCTGCTGTTCTCTTGCTTTGAATCAGCTTATCATCCTCTCACTTATGAACTTATCTCTGTCCATTTACCCATCCTGACATTCTTTCCTCCAGTCTTAGGGGAGAAGGTACACATCCTCTTGTCAAAGCTCACTCATCACTCCACACTCCTCCAGCCTTCTTAAGACTACATCCACTCATCTTTCCCTGGACCTTCTATTCCTCACCCATGACTCTCTCTTTATCCTCAGCCCATAAAGGTGTCAGAGGCTCTTGTTTGCTAAACAAATCCACAAACAAATAAACACAATAAAACAAAAACTTCTACCCTCTGTCAGGTTCCGCCCTGTCCAGTCCCCACCCCACCAGCTACCCACCCCATCATTCACTTCTTTCCTCCCCCTCTCATCCATTGCCATCCAGAAGGTAATCCACTCTCACCATCTCCATATTTTCAACTTCCATTCACTCCCTAGTCCATTGCCATCCAACTTCTGCAAGCTCCCATTGCCAAACACTGTGGGGAGCTGGCAGTCTCTATCGTGCCAGTCCCTTTGCTGCATCAGAAATCATCGAATCCTTTCTTGAGAGTCTCTAACATTTCGCGTCTATGGCAATGCACTTTCCTGCCTCTGCTTACAGCTGTCTACTATTCCTTCGCTCTTTTATGGATTTCTCTTTCCAACAGCTTCTCTTCTGCTGCTTATCCCTTAAATGTCATTGTTTCCAGAAATCCCTCCTTTAACCCACTACTTTTCTTCCTCTTCACTCTATTTCAGGACAATCCCATCCACTCTCCTGGTTTTAATTGTACCTATCGGTTGCTGTCTCCCAGATAACTGCTAGCCTTGGCTCTCCCTCAAATTTTGGCTGTGTATATCTTTCTACCTGCTGGTCTCCTCTACCTGGATGTTCTCTGAGCACTTCAGACTCAGTATACACAAAAACGATTTTATCACCTTCCTTCTAAATCAACTCTTCCTCCTGATGCCACCATCTCCTTTCTCCTGTAAGGTAGAAACCGAATGCTCCCTTGCATTCAGTTGGTTGAGGAGCTCTGCTTGAGTGAACCTTGTAAATATTCTTCTCTATACCTTAACCACTGCCCTGTTCAGGCCACTGTCATTTCTTGCCTGAATCACTGCAATCACATCCTAGTTGGTTTCCCTCCATATCCTTTCTAAATCCGTCCTCCACCTTAGGGGTTTTATTTAAAGTATGAACTGTCTTCATCAAATTCTTCTGTGGTTGTCCATCACTTAGAGCAGGAGCCCCAGCCTTTTAATATGGCACACAAGGGCACTATCTCTAGCCACCGCCTACTGTGGGAGCTGTTCCTTCAATGACTCTGCATTTCACTCTCTAGCACAGCAGAACTTCCTATGGTGTTGCTTACATTTTGCTGGGGTTTTTTTTGTTTTTTTTTTTTTTTTTTTTTTTTACTTCCACCCCTCATGTAATGTTGTCCAAGGAGAACATCTTTCCTCATCCTAGTCCCACTCCTGTACCCACTTAGGCCTTCCTAACTACTGCTCAGTCTTTGGGAGACATCTCTAACCTCCCCTCTCCATCCCCTTAGGTTTATATCACAATTATTTTTCTATGTCTCTGTACCACATTTCCTCAAGATTTAATAGGAAAGATGATTTAAGAACAGAGATTCTGATTACTTTAGGCAATCAAGATATTCTCTTGCTCACAAAGCGAGATTTATGAACTACAGAGGAGGCATTATAAATGCATTAGGTTCCATAATATGCTTTTCATAAGCTGTTTAGCTTCTATGTGAGGCAGAAGAACATGGAGAGAAGCTAATCATGCCGTATGCAGAGGGCTCCATGGGGCCATGGCTCTGAGATAAGGCGGGACCCCTACGGCCCAGGCACGGGTATATCTGAAGTAAGATGGAAATTAAAATCCACTCCCATATCCCTCCACTGGCATAAAAACAACAATAAATAATGTCCGAAGTGAACATGCAGCAGCAGAGAACATGGGGGAAATGAGAAAAACATGTCTTTGCCATTAGAGGAAAAGATAAGGAATTCATTTGCATCTTTCTGGGAGGAATTCGGGAATTTTAAAGTTTATTCAAGGCTCACATTGATCCTGGATCAGGGCAGAGACCCTTGGTATATCCCATTTTGAAGTTATAAACTTCGACAAGAATATGAGCAAAGAGGGAGGCAACAAGGCCAAGTACAAGCACCAAGAATGCAAGCGCTGCAATTTCCATGCAGCTCTCCAGCATCTCCCCACGCACTCACTCCTTCTCCCATTATCTCTTGAGCCTCAGCAGAATCTCCTTTACACTGTGTTTTTTTCTTACCATTTTAAGACTGAGGAAGGCAACTTTTAAAACATAAACGCATTTTCATCTGATTTGAAACATACCTGTTTTCAGACTTGAATTGCTTTGCTAATGTTTCTCTTCTGAAAAAAAGAGAGTTGTGTGCCATCTCGCGGTTGAGGACTGCCACAACAACAATTATGCACCCACAACATCCCACCCAGTTCAGCACCAGTGTTCCCCGGTGTAAACTCTAGAAAGGGTTCTGGTTCATGGACAATAGCAATCAGAGAATGTACCAGTGCAAAGACACTGAGGACTGAACTAGTAATTAATAGCATTGGAGTAGGGCCCAAAGGATCCACTGGATGATTTCATCCCCTAGTTCATACATGAATGCTGATTCATGGTGGTTTAAAAACAACAGTGACCTTGCACCGTGGCAAGAACACCAGAATGACACCTAGGACACCTGATGTCTATCTACAGATAGCCAGGTGAGCTAGCAAAAGAGCATTGACTTGGGGCCAGGAGGTTTCTACCCAAGTGCTACCACAATATAGCGTGTTACCTTAGGGAGGCTTCCTGATGAGCACTTTCACTGTGCCAAGTGCTGTCCAAGGTACTTTTTAAAATGTTTCTTCGGTTTCTCCCTCATAGCCAACCTACAGGACGGTGGTTCTATAAGTGAGGAAACTGAAGTTCAGCAAGAGTGAGAGAGCTGTCCAAGGTTACAGACCCAGTAAGTGATGAGTCAGGATCTGATCCAAAGTCTGACTCTAAAGCGTAAGGTCTTTATTTTTCTAAATTTATGTGTTTTCTTTTCATACTGTTTTATCATGTGATTGTGTGGTGGGGGGGAGGGAAGGGTCACATATAATCCAGATAGCTTGAATTTATTGTGTCCTTTGATGATAGGGCAAGTGGATTTTCCACTTAGTTCTCACCAAAGCTACAGATTCTATGCTATTGCTTTTTAATTCCTTATGTTTTCTCATTTTCTCCCATATGACTTTGTTTATAAAGGCATTTTAAGAGATAATATTACCTTAGCTTCAGATATCATGTTCTTTGAGTTCTGAAGATAAAGGATACAACCTCGAGAGAGAACGCTATCTGAGGGATTAATAGGAACACTAAGTCCTTTGCAGGGAGGACAAGATGTTCTACCTGCCACTGATGCAGTGCTTTTCTGAAGCCTGTTGCTGCAGGGTCTCCCCTGATACACCTTGAGGTGTTTATTATTATTGTCTGTGTTTGACCCTCAGGGAACTCAGGTACAAAGAGGTTAAGAAACTTGTTCGAGATCACACAACTATAATTTAAACACAAACCTGTTTTTTTTTTTAAAAAAAGAAACAACTTTATTGATGTATAATTGAGCTACAATACACATCACATATTTAAAGTGAAATTTGATCAGTTTTGAATCTATAAAATGGTGAAACCATCACTATAATCAAGATAATGAACATACGCATTATCCCCATAAATTTCCCCAGGCCCCTTGGGAATCCCTTCCCTTACCCCATCCATCTTCTCTCCACCCCCACAGTGCCATCCCCAGACAACCATTGACCTGCTTTCTGTGACTAGAGTTTTAATTTTATACAATGTTATATAAATGGAAATGTACTGTCTGCACTCTTTTAAGTTTGGCTTTTTTTTATGCAGCGTACTTATCTTGAGATTCATTCATGTTGTTCTATGTATCAGTACTTCATTCTTTTTTCTTGAGGAATATTCCTTTATAAATATATACCACATTTTATCCCCTGATGATGGACATTTGGGTTATTTCTATTTGGGGGCTATTATGAATAAAGCTGCTGTGAACATTGAGGTACAAGTCCTTGTAAAGGACATAGGCCTTCATTTCTTTTAGATAAATACCTAGAAATGGAATATCTGGGTTATACGATATGTATATGTCTAACTTTCTAAGAAACAGCTGAAGCCGATGTATATTTTACATATCAGGAGTGTATGAGAGTTCCAGTTTTTTCACATCCTTACACTCAATTGGTATGGTCAGTATTTTCCATTTTATACATTTTAATATGCATGTAGTAAAATCTTATTGTGGTTTTAATTGAGTTGTTTGCTTATTATTGAATTTTGTGAGTTCTTTATTTTGGATATGAATATCAGATGTTATTTTTCAAATATTTTTCTCATTCTGTAAATTGTCTTTTCATTCTCTTAATAATGTTTTTTGAAGAGAACTTTTGGATTTTGATAAAGTCCATTTGATCAACATTTCCTTTTATAGATCATGTTTTTGCTGTCATATCTAAAAAGTCTTTACCTAACCCAAGCTTACAAAGATTTCCCCCTATGTATTCCAGAAGTTTTATAATTTGGGATTTTACTTTTAGGTCTATGATCCATTTAGGTTATTTTTTTATGTAATGTGAGGTGTATACTGAAGTCGTTTTTATTTACTTTTAAAGTTTTTCTTTTTTTTTCACAATAGATATCATAATTGTTCTGGCACCATTTATTGAAAGGACCAACTTTTCTCCATTGAATTTCCTTTGCATCTTTGTTGAATATCAATTGTAATTCTATTTCTATAATCTCTATTGTTTCTTTGATTTATTGTTTTATCTTTATGTCAATACCATACTGTCTGATTACTGTAGTTTTATAATAATCTTGAAATCAAATAGCGTAAGCCCTCCAGTTTTGTTTTTCTTTTTCTAAGTTGTTTTGACGATTTTTGGTCTTTTGCATTTTAATAAGAATTTTAGAACCAGCTTTTCAATTTCCAGAAAAATCACTTTTGAGATCTTGTTTAGGATTGCATTGATTATATAGATTGTAAGGCTCACCTCATTTACTTTTTTATCATCTCTTAAGTGTCCTAATCCTCTGTTTCTTAATGTTCATATTTTGAAAACTATTGTTTCATTTTATTTTATATATTTTATTGTTTATTTTTTTATTTTTTTATTTTTAGTTTTTTAGTTTTAAGCAGTTCTTGTTATTCCATCTTGTCTGGTAATGGCAGAGCAACAGACCAAGGCCTTTGTGGTAAATCCTGTGCCCTTTCCAGAAGGAGCCTGTTTTAAGAGAGTGTGGGTGTAGTCTCATCTAAATTTTTTTTAATGAAAATTAAGTTTTACTTGTTACTGCTTTCAATAAATGCTTAAAACTCTGCCCACCCCTTCCCCCACTCTCTGGTAAGACTTGGTTATTACACACCAATTGTTAAATTCCCAAGTATCGATTCTCATACATTAAATGATTACTTTTGTTCAAGTCTTTATAATGGAAAGTCACAAAAATCCTGATTTTGTGGCACATTTATTCATTTGGAAGAGATGGACAAGGTACTATTTCCTCTATAATTTCAGTAAAGTGATTTTCTAGTATGAAGGATATAACCATGTAGTACAAAAAGCACTAATTTTTCTGATAAATCTCATCTTGTCCATAAATAGAAAGTGGAATCCAAGACAGTGGGGTATTTGGTGGTTCTAAGCAGAAACCCTAATAATCTACCATATAGACTTAGCTCGACTTCATTAACTTTTTGGAAATGAACCTGTTGGGAAAGCTATTCTAATGTCATCCATTAAATAAGAAAAATAGAAATTAGATCATTAAAGTGAATGGGGCTAGTGCCAAAGTGAACATAATGAATAATGCTTTATTACTCTTCATTACTTCAAAGCAGTCCTTTAATTAAGATTCCTTCCGCCTGCAAAACTAATTTTGTAAGTTTATACAGCCAGTATATTTCCATTTATACCCCTACAAAGCAACCCTTTTGCATTATAGGAAATTTGTGTTTATCATCCAGGAAGGAAATGAGGTCTAAAGGCAAAGGGAGACACCTTGGTGTGGTGGGGGAACACCGTCTCGCCAAGTTTGGGGAGATACAGTGAACGTAACATTTTCACTTCCTTGGACTAAATTTAGTCTTATCTGTTTTTCACATCAACAGTTACTCTAAGAAATATTGTTGGTGATATCAGGCTGGCTCTGGATTTTATCCCTCCTTGAATCTATTGATGAAAGTAGAAGCCTGAATACCAATACTGTTTCCAGTTACTGGTTTCCATGAAGATGGGGCCCCATAAGTTCGATAACTACTCAGAATATTAATTTAAGCTTCACCCTGACAGCCAGTGATCACTAGAACATATAGTGCTGACCCAGCTGCTCAGCTCTCTTAGAAATGACTTAATTACGCAGTTGGAACAGCTGCTGGAACCAGCCAAAGACACAGGGAAAAAAAAAAAGCAGTTAAAGGAGAAACAAGGCAGGATTAATTTGTGGTCTAACTCATTAAGACCTCCTGCTGTCATCCTTTGGCAAGCCACTGAGCCTTCACGTTTTAGAAAATGATCACATACCTCCAGTTACATTTATTAGTTTCCTCGATTTTGCAAAAATCATAACAACCCCCAGAGTCATTAAAAGTACTGTGGCATGTAATTTGTTCCAAGTAGGAAAAGCCTTCTCAAGGAGACCAGGGACTGTCCACAGGGCTTTGGCCCTTCTCTGTAGTGATGTTAAATCTCCCCTTAGAAGTGGCTATATGTGTCCACAGCACCTCACACATTCCTTCCATTCTCCCCTCCTTCTCCTTTCTCTCATTTTTCTCTCTTTCTGTCTTTCCTTCTCCTTTCCCTTGTCACCCTTTGGCTGCTGGAGTGAGCTGAAGATGGGGTGTCAAGGACATAGATCTGAAGCTGCTGTCAATATATTTATACAGCAATCTATATTCATCACTCGTTTAATCCTCACAGTAACCTTGATAGGAGGCATTTCTCCCCATTACACAGGTAGAGGAATTGAGGCTTAGAAAGGTTGTGTAATTTATGTAAGGCCGTTAAACCTGTTATTAGGCCATTTCTTTCTGTTTCAAAACCACTCTTCTATGTGTTGCTCTATGCTGCTGAGACTGGAACTCTGCAAACCACATTTCTGCTTTGTCAATGGCTCTTCGTTGGCATGCCAGAAGGAGATGCTAAGGCTGGAGGAGGGAAAGGGAACTTGCTTCTTTCTGTTTACTTCCTGGTATTGTCACCGTCACCCTAGTAGTGTTGTTTCACCTCAGCAGAAATAATGTGCCACATTCCCAGAACCAGCCCCTCAGATGTACAAACACCAGTCGACTAGCACCCCCTTCCCTGAGATCTGCATTCCAATTACAAAGGGCCCCTAAGCCCAGCGTCCAGGTCCTAATCTTATCCTCTTTGTTTCCACTAGCCCCAGTGGCAGTAGCTGCTTTCTAAAGTTACTATGTCTGGTGCCCCAATGTTCTCTTTTTACCTTTTTGAGTCCCCAATACTCATATCTTGATTCTCTCTATTAAATTGTTTTCTGTGAAAATTACTGGTTTGGTTTCTGACTAATAGACACAGGAGCAATGGGATTCAAAATCAGGTCTGTCTGACTCCAAGTCCAGGCCCTCGATTTCTACTCTATGCTATACCCCTACCTCATTTGCAACCTCCTGCCCAAATCCTTCGCTCGACCAAACTTTACTCAAGCTCCTGAAACTCCTCCTAGGCCTATCTATGCACTGCCTTGTAAAATCTAGTTTACTATACAAGAACCCTGCTAAGTCAGTTTAACCAGAACCTCTACCCTTGATATCATCCTCGACATCTGATCAGGTCCCTTATCCTCCACCATCCCCCAGGTGGTGTCTGATCACGTTGGCCTGTCTTCAGCAAGAATCCTGTTATGTCGGGTTTAGCCAGAACCCCGCCCCCGCCCTTACTCCTGATGTTTCCTCTTGGTAATTTTCCATCCACTGACCCCCACCCTGCTCCTCAGCTGTAAATTCCCATTTGTCCAT